TTCGACTTTGGAGGGGTTATACAGCGCTTGCGAACGTAAAAAAAGAGCAAACCCAACAGCAACCCGATCATGAACGCCGCAATACAAATCACCACTATCGCGTTGAAGCTTAATCCAATTAGGTTTGTTACTACAGTAACATTGGCAATACGATAGTAGGTATAGTTTGGTAAACTCAGACGGTAACCCGGCTTACTTATGAATGCAGAGCACTGCCTCTGATAAAATAAGCAATCCTCATTCAACGAATGGTTTGTGCCCTCCTCACCAGCCTCTGAGCAATTCATGCGCTCCTTCAGCACGGGGTCCAGGTAGCACAGTCCCTCTTTACTCTTTGGTGCAGACGAATTGATAAGATTCTCGAATTCCTCCAGGTCAAAACTGCCCTTGAGATTGCTGGGCACTAGATCCTTCTCCGCTACAGTCACCATTTGGGGTAGCTTAGCAATTTTCCACTTGGTAAAAAAAGAGCGGTCTTCAGAGTAAATCGCGAAGACGGAGACTCTGGGATGGCCATCCACGGTCCTCAGAAAGAAGACAAGCGACATGCCAAATGGCGGGTGAAGGGTCAACGGAGAATGAACGCCGAGCGTGGATGCCAGCGATGCAATGGCGTCGCCATTGGCACTGTACTCGTGCAAGATGACTTTCGATTTGTTATTCAAATAATCATGCATATTAGTGAGCAGTTCCCGCGCCAACACCTGCCCTTTGCTGCCCTGCAATACATTCAACGGGTTGCCACGGTCGTAACCCAGGGTAAAATTAGAGACACAAATGGAGACTTGACATAGTGCGCCCAGGTATTGTTTGAGTAATTTGTAAGAGTCCTTTGAAGGGAATAGAGCGGCATAGGAGGTCCCGATATCGCAGAGCAGCATCGCGCAGTCCACACCCTTTTTCTCGTCGCTGCAGTACCCTTCAGAAGATACCTCCTTGCCAATATCCTGCAAGATTCTCGAGTTTAACCCAAGCTCTCTCATGAGAGGATTGCATGCATTCCTTATCTCCGGCATCCCATATTTATACTGGAAATACACAGCTGGAGAGGCTCGGGTATTGAGGAGCACATCTGTCTTCAAATCGGTTGTATGAGTGGCGGAGAGCGGCGGAAAGACAGAAACAAATTGAGCAAAAAAGTTATTGGAGCTTTGCAGTGTTCGCGTCTCGTCCGTCGATCGGCTGTGCATCAACGTCGTATTAAATTGTAGAATAAACAAAAAATTTTCAAACTCAGAATCCTTTTGAATGCGAGCCAAATCTTTTAAAATATTTACCATTTTACTGATCGTTTCGCTTCCATCATCACGCAAATCACCGCACAAGTTTCCCTTATCACAGATACTTGTTTCGTTGTGCGGTGTGATGGGTAGCCGCACTCCGTGATTGTGCACCACCTGTACATGCAGATGGCCATAGTTCTCTGCTCGGGTGGCGGTGAGGCACGTGGATACCAGTAACATGGCGCACAGAAAGAAGGAAACACGAGGCATCACGTTGGGTGGGGGTACTTTAGCAAGAAGACTTTTTTTAATTATCCGGAAAGAAGAAACTAGGGGAGAAAAGGGGAACAATACAAACCAGCTCCACAAACTAAATAAACTCGGAAGCCCCACGATATTGCTAGTTACGTCTTGTGAACTCAAAATGAGTATTAAGTGGGTTTACTACCATGACGCGGCACGGTACTCTGGGCGTCCACAAACAAGACGGGACGCATCGCTCCGGCGGCCAGCGAAATCCTCTCGCTCATCGCCTCAGCTTCCCCCTTTTAGGTACGGGACTGTTTCAACCAATGAATCATCGCCTGACCTGCAAACGCGGCAGGCACGATAACAAAGCTCGACACCCACAACCCCATCGCTTGTGTTCAGTCTAGAGGGAATATGCCTCTCGGTCATCCTAATGCATTTCAAGTAAAACGAGACGCGTTGCATCCAACCCCGTCAGCCTTCCTCAGCTGTCCGCGCACAAGTCTCGCGAAACGTGCGCTTGTCGATGCACGCTCCACACACATGCAAAGCGCTAGTGGGGAAAGACGAGGGTGATCAAACGTCCGGCCATCTCCATGAGGTATCCGGAAGGGTGAACCGGCCATCAGTCATGCGCGATTCGTGCTTTCCCACACACCTCGTGCGTGCGCCACTTTTTCAGCATCACAATCGTCCTCGACAAGCTTGCCAGCGTCGCAAAATACGCGCACACAAAGTCCCTCCAAGGAAAGCGGCTCGAATGTAACCCCACTCGCCCGCACCATTGCAGCCCGCAAAACCGTATTGCGAGACGAGCATCCTCACCCCAGACGGCAAGCGTAGCTCTGGATATCCTCGTGCTTCCTCACTCCTCACCAACGCAGGCGCATAGTGCCCCCTAACAAGCAGGCGTCGGTACTGGGAGGGCTGAAAGGAGGAGGTTTCCACGACAGGCGTGCACGCTTTGGAAGTGCTATCGCCGCTGCCTCATGTACTTCGGTGGACCCTAAGCGGTTACTCCGTGATGCTGCTGCTGTCGATAATCAAAACAACACGATTGATTAGTACAAACCACGGAGGTACACCTAGCCCTCGGCACCCTGAATGGGTTTCATCGTTTTCTAGTATAATATTTCAATACTTGTCCCAGCCTTTGCTTCCTCCAGCACATCAAAGCATGCCTAGACATGAGAAGAGACGGATAGAGTGGGTAGGGTACACCACAAAACAAAGCTGAGTTTTGCATCTCACCGGAAAGGGAGTGGCAAGGTAGTAAATGATTAAAAACTTGTGAGTTCAGTATCGACGTGCGTACGAAAATCAACACAATTATCATTGCCCAAGCTTCGCCTCAAAAGACATCATCGGTAGAATATATCCAAAATAACGTATAGATAAGCCGAATAAATATATACGAGGCTTTGCTTATATCAGCCGAACTACTTCGTGATGCGCGTCCAGCGCAACGCGATCACGGATCCCCCACCTCATTGATCTTGGGTCGCTTTACACTCAAACACTTGACTCCCAAGATGATCGCCACCCCCAAACCGACTGCAAAAAGGATCAAAGGCACAATCACCGTCAGGGGCTTATTGAGTGGTTCATTGTCTACTATCTTGGTGACGTGGTTATCGACGCATAGCAGTGTCTTTAAGTCAAGTATGCCTTTCGCCCCCTCATCGCCCATGCAGGCAGCCTCCGGGCATTGTTTACGGTACGCAGCACAGATTGGCGATACGGCAACGGACCGTGTGAGATCCCCTTCCAACTCAGACCCAAGCACCGGCTTCTCAGGGCAGTTGACGACCTTCACGAGCTCCTCCTCCAGCAAGCAGGAACCCCGTGGGTCGGTCGGGGCACCCTTCTCCAGCATCCGCTCGAAGTCCTCCAGGGGGCAAATGTTGTCCGTAGCATTGTACAAGCGACCACTGGAGTTCGCACATCTCAGTTGAAAGCTAGAGTCAAGATGGAAAACAAAATTCTCTTCGGGCGTCTGCGCCGGGTTGCCTCGCAATACACGCACGGAATAGTTCGCCTTGGACAACTTATTCTTAGCGTCCGAAGAAACCGACGCGGCTTTGTCGTCACCGAGCACGATCCCCGCAGGGGGGCTCCTCAATTTCAGCAACTCCACCACAAGGGTCTGGCCAAAAGGTGGCAGCATTCCCAAATCACTACGATCAAGCAGTGACCCCGTAATGGGTGTGAGAGTGATGTCGTGCGCAGAGTAGTGTATCATCTTGAAGCTGATGTTACCCGATATCTTTTCGTCGATGTTCCTTAGAACCTGCTTCCAATATATGTACCCACGACTGCCCTCCCGCCGGTGCTGCTCCTTATTGTAGTCGAAGTACGATTCATAATCAAGTAGCGCTCGGTAGATGCGCTGCAGCTTCTTATAATTTTGTTTCAAGAGGGGGTAGGCATCGATTTCGCCACTCGACGTCATTGAGGCCGCGATATCGAACAAATTGAATGCGCACTCCGTCCGGTTCTCCCAGTTATCACAAACACCCTTTAAACCCAGCTGCGTTGAAATCCTTGTGAGGCTTTTCCAATCAAGAAACAGCTTATCCGTCACAGGGTTGACCTCTCTGAGGAGGGTAGCACGGTGGTAGCGGTAGTAGAACCCCAAGTTGGGCTGTAGGTAAGTCAGGAGAAGAGTGTCCATCGGTTTGGGGACTGTATGAATGACGGGTGAAAATGAGGGACTCGATCCCTCAGTCATAAAAAACCCTCTCAAGAAGGCAATGGCACTCTGAATCGTGCGATCCACATCGGTCGAACGACTATAGACGTCATGCAAGTTGTACGCTCGTTGTGCCACAGCGCCGTCCATCTCCTCAGCATCACTCGCCTTTGGGAAGAGCGGATTGGGGCCCACCGAGTACATTTTAGAGAGGAATTTTCCAACCTCCTCCATCATACGCACCCCGTTCTCCGTCAGTTGATCACATGGTGCATCGGTACAAAACATCGTCTGGTTTGGTTTGGCCGTCGGCGCACGAGCACCATGCCGATGAAGGACGTGAATCAAAACCTTATCGAAATCCTCGATTACGTGGCCCGACGCGTGAAGGGGTAGGCAAAAAATCCACAGAGTGCACAACAGTAACCCGAGAAGGCGTGGCTTTAGAAGGGTGGCCATTTCTCTTCCGCTAAAACTGCGTTGCGTAAGGGTAGATATATATATATATATATATGTATATATATATGCAAGGGAAAGGATAGGGTATTAGCGTCAAGTAAACTATGCGTGGAGGTGTAGGGTTAAATTTCTGATGAATCGAAAAAATGCGTCAGGGAAAAAAGAGAAGGGCGGGAATAATAAAATAACCAGCACCCAAAACAACATATTCTGATCACCCATACGCACGTATACGTACGTGTGTTAAGTGCACAGCTTGGTAAGCATCCATCCACACGAGGGTCTCGGGATGGTGCAGGGGACTTGAGAATGGAAAAGCGAGGAAGAACATGTTACTAGTGCATATAATTCTGAAGTGACAAATCTTTACATCATGATAATGAATTCTTTTAAGGATACGATATCACTACTTTCCTCAAAGAGTGGTATTAACATTGTATTCTCTGAAGTATTCGATCGGGCGCTGGCAACAATAACCTCATTTTCTATGCCATCTTCTTTCTCATTTAGCACCAGGTGCGTAGACATCGAAAGCGGAGTAGCTAAAAAATTATAATTGTCTGCAGGCATTTTAAAATCTAAATTGGTCTTTGTCTCTTTTCCTATATTCATTGGCAGAGCTCCCTCAAATGTTGCTTCACAAACATTGCTTTCTATAAAGATGAAAGATTTTGCCTTTCTCATGTCAGACACAGCGTCCTCATTTGTCTTGTTGGAAGCCACTGGCTTCCGCTCAAGTTTTACAAAACTTACATGAGAGTAAATGACACATTCTACGCTTATGTTGACACCTGCCTGGCTTATTAGTAGGCTCCCCTTTCGCACAGAAGCCTCGACGGGCTTAGCTGCAGGGGTTGTTGTGTTTTCGGCATTCGTGCCACTAAGCAAGCACATAGCGCGCTTCAGATTCGCACCCCAGGTCATATGTCCGAACCGCCATGCCTCTTCGATATGCAATAGCGGCCTGCCCAGAGCTCCATGTCCATCATAGCGGGGCTCATGCAATCCATGATGATAACCCTTATAGTTTACATCACCAACACTTCTTTGAGACGCCCACGAACGCGAGATGGCGAGCCCACACGAAAGCCAATCAAGTTGTTTGGTCAATGCAATTGTAGTTGTTGGACAGCCCCACACCGCCTCAATAAAGGGTTCTTCAGGCTCTAGATCCACCCCTAGACGCTTTATGTGAAACGGGTAGTAAATGCTTTCCAGAGAGTCATATGGCGCATGTAATGCAGTATAGGCTCTAGAGTCCAGTACTGGGCAAGCATTACCTTTCAAAGGTGTTTTATCTGTCAAGGGGATGCTCTCTTCGGCAGCGCCCTCCATCCCTCCCTTGAAAACTGCTTTATCACAGTGTGAAGATAAAAACTTAACCGGCGTTGGAATAAACGCATTTGAGGTGGTCCCAATACCGAGCTGGCCAGCTTGGTTTTCGCCAAATCCGAATAGGCGTCCGGTGCTAGTTAGGAAAAAGCTGTGGTGTCCGGTCGCGAAGATCTGCCTTATAGGTAGCCCAAAACAAAGGGGAATGAGCCGAAACACTAACTGCAGAGGGATAGCACACTGCCTGAGACCGAGCTGCCCACAGTGGCCACGACCGCAACTATAGACACCGTTTAGCGACGCAGACAGTAAAAGGGTGTGCTCCGCGCCGCACGAAACCGCGCAAATACGCACAGATGGCCTGTCGACTGCGAGGGGGGTTGAGCTGATGCCTGAAGAGGTGTCACATTCACCCTTCTCAAGCCCTCTCATGGGATCCAACTGTTCCTTGCTGTCGCTGTCTGTTAAGTTCTTGAGAGATAGGATTGGGTTATCGAACCCAAGCACGCGACGCGGGGTCGATAACAAAGGTGGCGTGCTGCAACCTCCGCATTGCTCGTTAAATACTGAAAACTTTTTTGAATCCGAAATATTATCCCAAATGGTGCCGTCACCAAGCTGTCCATATCGATTACTATATCCACAAGAATACACCGCACCCGAATTAGTGCAAAACACAATGTGATAATCTCCAGTTGCCACGTCAACAACAGGGTCTGCTTCGTCTGATAAAATTGATCCGTGAAGCGCTGGTATCAACGGCGAGAAGAGAACCAAAGTTCCACTAGAAAAAAGAATAACAGTGTAGTATGCACGGCAACACTGCACCTTAGAAATACGGTCACCATTAGCAAGATGTGGACGTAACAATTCTTCTAATGAGTTGGCTAGGGTCGAGAAAATGTACTTCACACCTTGATGTCTTACATTGGAGCCGTGAGGCTTTAATGATGTATTTTCCTCCAGAAGCTGCTTAACTGCCTCATGAGTAGTTGGTATGCAGCGCATGATAACTGAGAACACCAGAAATTCGCTTGTTAGATTTAGATGGAAAAATGAGGCCTGATAGATAAAAACACTTCAAAAAAAAAAAGCACGCCCTGCATAAATTACCATTGTTATTTTTTTGATTATTTTTATCATATCGTTATCATTGTTTTCCTTTAAAATACTAAGGCAAACGAAATACTCCAATGATCCATTTATGTATTCTTTACGGAGTATGAAAACTCGTTTTTGTGTAACCGAGCAGAAGACAGGCTAGACATACACTGCTTCTTTGCACTATTTCCAATACATAGACTTGCCTGAAAAGCGAATAAATCCATCCCCACCTTCCCCTGTCACGCAGATAAATAAGCTCTTAAGTGCATGTACGGGGGGGAGTACTTTTCGACATGCGATGCTTCTCCACGGTATGTTTTTTCATCAATTGGAGCACATTACCCACAATGTAAAGCGATCCACACACAAACACCTGGGCCGGCTTTGAGATGTCTTCGCCATCGCTAGCTGCTGGAAGAACCAAGTTAAGAACATCATTGATAGAGCAGAAGGGTTGAGCGCAGGGTAAACAGGGAACCTCTCGGTAGAGCTCCCGCCAAGACTCTGTCGTTGTCACAAGCCTTTCATGAAGAATTTGTGAAAAGTCTTGATTGATGCGATTACCGTCATGATTAAAATAATCTATGTCCTTCGATAATTTAATTCGAGTGGCTACGTCCAATGACTCTGGTTTCATGATGGGCACTTGCGCAATGATTGTTTTACAAAATTTCGAAACAAATGGCATAAACGATTTGAGTATCCGGCGCGGGTTGCGTAGGGTGAAAAACAACAAAACTCGTCGAGACTCTTCACTCACATAGTCCTTTTCAACTGTCCGTGCGTCGCTGGGGGAAGTAGAACTAACTTCCAGGAACCACCTAGTAGCATGTTCAAGACTCTCGACCGTGTGTGCGCCATCCAGGTAGAAAACACAGTCTGTGCCGTCGCCAAAAGGGATAATGTGCGATCGACCTGAGAATTTCATGTGACGGAGAACCGCCTTCTCCATTTCATCTAGAGGCAGTACAGGTGGTATCCCGGCGATTTGTCGTGCCGCCATGAAGGCTAGCTTGCTGTCTTCGATTGCGTGATAACCACCGATGGCTAATCGCGGCCAGTTCTTTATGGGAAAAATTGAATCGTTCAGAAACATGAACGGAGTCTGAGTAGCCTTCGCCACGCTCTCGAGCTCGCTACATACCTCAGGGTGGTCCCGCTGTGGTGAAGCAAAACACACCACGTTAGGTCTCATGATAGCCGCCTTCTCGTGCGCAATCAACTGAATGGTGTTTCCAAGGAGCTCCATGTGGTCGTAGCCGAGCGCTGTGATAACACTCACCTCTGAAGGAATCACGTTAGTGGCGTCCTTGCGCCCACCGATTCCAACTTCAATAACTGCTACTTCGACATGCTCAGCAGCGAAGATGTGTAAGGACAACAAGAACATAAAACTGAAATAAGTGACATTCGAGGCGTCATCTCTATCCACATCACGTTCCGAATACTTTAGCGCCTCAAGTCGTTCATGAAGTTCGAAAAGGTAACGAGCAAATGTATGTTGAGGAAGCATCAAGTTGTCGACTAAGATACGTTCACGAACATCTATTAGATGAGGTGATGTGAAGAGTCCAACCTTAATACCATAGGCCTGTAAAAGTGCAGATGTGTAGGCGGCGGTTGTACCTTTGCCTTTAGTACCTGCGATATGGACGAAACGCATCCTTTTCAGAATAGGTCTCATGTTAAGTCGATCCAACAACCGATTGGTGGTTGCACAACTGTTTTGAATGGGCCTCTTTTTCTTACTGATCCTTGATTCCAGAACACGCAGGGCATCATTAAATGAGTGCCCCTTATCTGATCCTTCTGCATGATCATTGCTAGTACTAGTGATATCAGTAGCAACATCAACATCGTGTTTAGATACGCAGCTTCCTCGAAAGTTGTGAATATGCGAAGCCTTCTTATGCGGCCCTTCCATGAAATAAATTGGATCAAACTGTCTCTCAAGTGCATTCGATGAACCTAACCACTCGTTAGCCTCGCTTTTTATTTCTTTGTGCAATGTGGAAATGCACATACAAGAATGTCGAAGAGGCACAATTGATGCTTTCGATAACATACTAACGTGAATAACCATTGGTAGGCGCAAAAAAAAAAACAGATGGCAAGAAAAAACCGATGCATGCCTCTGATGGGATGAAAATGTTGAAAAAAGTGCACGCGGTATGGCATCGGTAACATTAAAATGCCGTCGCATGACGGTAGCGGCAATGTCCAATATTTCTTACAGTCGAAGGGAATACGATCATTCAAAACCTATTATAGACCTCGAGAAAAACGGGTGGGTAAAGTCATAATTGAAGATATTCTATATCCATCCTACAAAAACATTAATCGATAAAGCCTCAATAAACCAGTAGCACAGTATGATTACCGTGTTCCATCTGACAAAATTTCCATAAAAAACAGAAGCCTAAATAAATGAATAGAGATTATATTATTTATAAGTCTGAATTCAAGATCAACCTGTACTCCCTATTTTAAAGGAATTGGTATTTCTACAATCTTTATTGCTTCCTTATTTCAATTTCCTAATAAGCAATGTATACATATATAAAGACAGAACTAACTTCATCCTTGGAGAGTGTTTGTCTTATCTCATAAAGCCCACGACAATGTCCAATTGATGAGCTTATGTTAATAATAACGACTAAGGGAGAGAACAAGTGGTCTTATTATTACCAGAACCTCTAGTCAAAACATCCGCTTGGTCGCGTATACTGCACTCAAGAATTGCAGAGTTTCTTTACTGATAAAGTTATACTTGCAAAATTCAGAAAGAATAAAACAAACTTACACAATGGATGAAAAATGATGGGAATCTATTAAGCACTCGCTATGAAACTAGATTATCCTCTTTAATATTTATTAGAGGCTTAGACAAAATATTTTTACAAGAATGTATCTTTCATACTAGATTCCTGTTTATATACTAGTGTAAGCTTCATCTTCAAATACTCTACATGCAGCTAAATACATTCACTTCACTAGTTTAATGGACGATAAAATTGGTGGAGTATCTAGGCCTACTCCATGTTGACCTTTCCAGACCCCTTTAATACCCACTCAGGGAATCAAATAATGGGTTACGTGTTTTTTCTCCAAGAGAAAAGGTATTGAAACCGATGCTCTCAAGGTTTTTAAGATTCAAAGTGGGGCGCCCATTAAACATCATGGCGGGCTTATCCATGACATCATAAATAGATTTATAATTCAAATGCTGAAAATCATCCCACTCCGTTAGAATAAGAACAGCAGACGCACCCTGAGCAGCGTCCAACGCGGAATGCACCAACTTCACGTTATTCTTAAGGAATTCAGTCAATTTGTCACTATAAAGGTCAAATTTATAACCATCATCGCTTCGGTGGTTGGCATGTAAAGATTTGAGATCAATGTTTTGATCAGCTGTCATAACGAAGTTTGCAAGCTCCGAGTATACGGCATTTTCAGATACCTTGGGATCGTAAATTTTTAGCGTTGCTCCCTCTCCAAGGAGCCGGGAGCAGATGTGAATGGCCGCGCTCTCGCGAGTGTCGCCCGTATCTTTCTTAAAGGTAAAACCAAAAATCGCCAAGGTCTTTCGGTTCACCGTGTCAAAGCACATTTCGACAACTTTTCGGTAAATTCTTTCCTTTTGGTACTCGTTCATCACGATGACTTGGTTCCAGTACTCGGCGACCTCAGACAGGCCCATCTTCTCGCACAGGTACACCAAGCTCAGAATATCCTTCTTAAAGCAAGACCCACCAAAGCCCGGGGATGGGTCTAAAAAGCTGCGCCCAATGCGTTTGTCCGAGCCTAAAGCCCGGCTGATCTCCATAACATTGGCATCCGTCTTCTCACAAATCGCGCTGATCGAGTTGATGGAGGAGATCCGCTGCGCCAGAAACGCGTTTGCAGCCAGTTTGGACAGCTCGCTCGACCAGAGGTTCGTCGTGACGATGCGTTCCTTCGGCACCCAACACTCATAAATCGAGGAAAGCACAGCTACGGCATCGGAGTCGGAGCCACCGATCAAAATGCGATCCGGGTTCAGCAAGTCCTTAATGGCAGTTCCCTCGGCCAAAAACTCTGGGTTGCTGAGAATATGAAACCGCGCTTTCGAATTAAACGATGAGAGGATCTGCCGAACAGTTGTTGCTGCCCGTACGGGGACGGTGCTCTTCTCCACAATAAGAACATCTCGCTCCTCGATAACTGTCCTCCCAATAAGTCGAATGGAACTTTCGAAGAATGAAAGATCGGTAGCACGTCCGATTCCCATACCCTTGTCTTTAATTGGTGTATTGACAGCAATAAAAATGATATCGGCCTTTTGTAACACGTTTGGGTCGGTTGTGAAAAACAAGTTTTTTCCGCGAGCTCTGTAAATGATATCAGGTAGTCCAGGCTCAAAGATGGGCAGCCCGTCGGGCTCATCGGGCGACGACGGTATAGGAGAATTCCACGCCTCGATGCGAGGCTTAAAAATGTCAAACACATTTACTGTAGCAAATGGGCATTTGTCGGCTATCACAGCCATGGTGGGCCCACCAACATATCCAGCACCAATGCAGACAATATTAAGTTTCTTTTTGAAACCTGTGAAATCCTTGATTTCAGATAGCATAGGTCTTATGAATTGAATCCTTAATGATGGTTAATCAAAAAATTGAATATCAAGTTGAGCCTGAATATTATACAATTTTAATAAAAGAAAAAGATACAAACCATAGTATAGAAAAAAGACTGCAATAAGCAACTGATAAGAGCAAATAAACAAATTTATCCGTTAAACAAGAAAAAAATGAGAGATGTGGTAGTGACAATATGAATGATAATTTGAACACTCTTGTAAAGAACGGTTCATAAATTTATGTATATGCGAAGAAGATAATATAAATATGCAAATCAATGCATTTTCATCATAACGTTGCACGGCAACTGACACTATACCAGTGAATGTCATTTTGATGGTGATGATAAACTCAAACTACTAATGATTATCTGTTTGACCTATCAACACGCCGTTGTGAAGTGGGTCTGCTCATAAGCCGCTATAGATTTTGGTACCAACTTTGTTTTAACAAGAAGCGGTCATTCTCGTTGGTCCCAGCTGCTCCTTTGAGCCCATCAATAAAGGGATTGAAGTGAGGAAAACTAACAATAAACAAACGTAGCGCGGAGAAAAGTATTACGGAGACTCATCGTAGACAAAGAAAAACACTGTTATATATAAAAAAACTAACGAATTCCCTAATGCTCTAAGCAAGTCGAAGCTCAGGAGTTAACAAGGAAAAAAGCGAGCTCTGTGAAACGTTGCAGCCGTCTATTCAAAGTTGGGATAGCTTTCACGGGTGATTTCCACCCAACGATGCAACGCCTCAGGTGAAGTTGGCCTCTCTAGTGGATCCAAACTGAGCAACTGGCATAGAAACTCAAGCACTACTTTACCTACTGACTTGGCTAAATCGTGCTGCTCTTGCTCATTAAGAGCCGTGCCTAGAGCAGACCCTTGTGCTGCACAATAGCGCCGAGTATTATGAGTCACGTGCCTTGATGCTTTGCAATCAGTAGTGGGAGAACAATCCGAATGAAACATGTCATGAGGTCCAGCAGTATCACCGTAACAGCTAAAGCTATTGGCAAGCAGCTTATGTGGAGCGGCATTAGCTAGTACTGCAAGATTACCAAGGCGAGTCCCTCCAAAAAGCATGCAACCAGTCAGAAGCTCGTAAAGGAGGCATCCGCAACCCCATATATCAGCGGATAGTTCTACTCGTTGCATTCGTTTTAAAAGATTTTCGAGCTTGCCGCCGGTTTCGTGGGTTCTGGGCGAGTCAGTTCCCTCAAAAGGACCCCCGCTATTAGGATTCGCATCAGGTACCTCGCAAAAGAGAGGGCAATCAAATCTATCGTCGCCAGAGTCATGTTCCTGTCTGGGAACGCCCTGATTGAAATAATCATTCAGAAATCCACGAAAGATCTGATACCGCCGTCTTGGGACCATAACCTCTGGTGGTTGGACCGCTTCCGTACCCTTTGCGCTTCCCCATCGGGCTGCCATAAAGCGCGCCTCGCCTGCCGCCACATCGGAGAAAAGCATGCGCATGTCCTCCTCGTCGCAGCTGTCGCAAGAGCCGAAATCACCCAGTCGTACCATCGTTGGAAGGCTGAAAACTTGCCTCCGTAGTGCAGTCGAGCCTTTCTGAAGGGACGCATTCCCACCTGCTGAAGTATCATCACTATGGCTTTTGGCGTCCCCGTTGTCGCTCCTTTCCGGCGTGAATCGCAGCTCCTCTTCGATGAAGACATTAGCTGCCTTAAGATCACCATGCCTAATATTGTGGCGGTGGGCGAACTCTACCGCCATCAACACCTGCGTGAAGACGCGTGCACATTGTGAAAAGAATGACGGGATATATGGCGGCGGGGTACCCCCTCGCGGTGACGAGGCATCATCTGTATCGGAAATAAATGTGGCGTGAATTTTCTCGCTGAGTGCACCGAAGCCAACCAGATACTGTTCCAAACGCCAAGACAGGAGCGATCCACCTGTATACTCCGGAGTCATAATAAAAAATTCTTCGCCTGAGCAGCCAAATGACAGTAACGAGATGATGTGCGGATGGCCGCGCAATCGGTAAAGCGCCAAAACTTCAGAGTGACACAGAGACAAGGAAGCACTTCTACCACCATGGAAAGCAACCGGAATGAGTTTTATAGCTAGATTCCCGGTTGCGAATAGAGAAACAGCCTCCGCCTCGTGCCGATCTACAAGACTGCACGACTCGACCCCGGCACCTTTAAGCATGTTCAGCTGCGGCAACAATGGCGCAGCACGGTACACCGAGCCGAACCCACCTGCTCCGATGCGACGACATACCGGAAAATTACGCAGCCAATCGCGTCGTGGTAAGAGCAGCCGCAGTAACACATAGTGTCCACTCGAGAGGGGCTCAAACAGAGTGTCCGTCTGGTTTAGTAACGTGTGAATAGAGCTGTTGTATACTTCATCATTACCCATCACGAATTGTTGCAATAAGCTGTCAAAGAACCGACACTGGGCACCTGATGAAAGCTGGGTCTTTGCTAGCTGCGCTAGCATTTTGCCGTATTGCTGATCCAACCATGAATTAACGGCACGGACCACCGACTCACAGCAATGCCGGTGTAAGTAGCACTGCAGATCACCTAGTACATGAATACCAGCCAACGCTTGAGGAGTACTTATTGCGTCAGCGACTGTCACACATTGACACCCTTGTGTAGGGAAGGCCTCATTCATCCCGCTTCCAAAGCAGAAAATGTTCTCTGGCTTCGTTGTAGTGTGGCTTGGTAGCAAACGGTTCTGCACCAAGGAGGAGACGGTGAAGTCATACCCGATGAAACCACTCTCGCGCTGAAGCACTAAGCCACTGATGCACAAAATGAGCTCAGTCAAGATAGATGGAGACTTCATAAGGGTGAGGCCTGCCGCAGTCGAAAATGTGGAATCCACAAAGCCGTTAGGAGAGGAAGCATTAGACGGTGGTGTATGAGCAGCTCTCCCGCTATAATAGTTTACAATGGGCCCCTTGGGTGAGGAATTCACTCTATTTAAGGAGCTCATTCCACCACTCAGTGGCATCAGTGCTGGGTCAATATGAGTCGCGATCTCGAAAAGAGGCGGTACGATTGGCCTCCGTAAAGTGGTGCCGTCGTTACCCATGCACGCTGTGCCATCCTTTCTCTTGGACTCGCTCTTATCACATGTGGAATGTTTCTTTATAATTTGTCTGAGACAATCAGAGTTGCTCCTGAGCGCTCCGCAAGTAGACTGCAAAGGGACCTTGTGGGATAGCCTGAGATCGGAATCCATCAAACCGTGTATGTGTGAGTCCTTGGCAAGAAGCGAACTCGCCATCTTGGACGGCGACAGCCGCATCACAAGCCTATCGTCAACACCAAGCCATTGTGTTTTTGATTTCCCACAAGAAGTATAACTCGCGACCGTTGAAACAATACGCTCCACAGGGACTTGGGTATGAGTCAAAGAACTGGAATGATGTGGAACCTCCAAATCAGCAAGGTGTAATTTTGGCACCAAAACACTGTCGTCGGCGAGTGGGGAACTGTTAGCAGGCAGCAAAACTGATGAGCAACCAACAGGAGGAGCGCTTTGCTTAGAAGATGGACTTGGAAGATCAAAATCCTTTCCCTTTAGTAATCGTGCACCGCTCGTACCTATTGGAGTAGAGAAAGCTGGCATCAAGCTCCCATGTGCGCTGGCGCCGGTACCACTAACACTGTCAGATTTTTGTTTGTGCTCTCCCTGCCACATGGGACGTCTTCCCTTCCCCTGAGCCTTAGTCCCACACCGGTCCTTGTGGCCACTAAAAGTAGCTGTATCACTTGGCGCACTTATTTTACTCGAAGCATTTCCCGATCTGCGCTCAATTCCTGAGCGCCCAACCAGCCCTACCAGAGTAGGCCCTGGATACGAGGGAGATGTATTCTCCATTTCGGAGAATATTCTGGGTGCATCAACGGGGTTTTCTATCGATAGGCTGAGCAAAAAACGAGTAAGCACACTTGGAATGTGCAACCTATGCGCTGTCTGATATGCTTTCCCGTGATACCAGCACACTACACGAAGAGCACGCAACAACGACTGGCAATACTGCTGCCAATGCTCAAGCAAAGGCTGATAAAATGAGTACGGGTAAGGTAAGCTACACAAATCGATGTCTTCTGTATTGTCATTTTTACCGATCTTGAGCTGGAGATTGGAATAAAATACATGCACGATGCGTAGAAATAAGAGATGAACGTAGGTTGAAGATGATGAACTCGGAAGAACAGAAAACGTATTCTGAAATAGTAAACGAAGAATCCGGTGGTGCTCCTGAACACCCGCGTCTGTAATTGATGTGGGAAACCCATTCGCCCTCCGTTTTTCTGTAAAAATTGAATACTGCATGTAGTTTATCGGGGCGGCGGCGGAAGAAAGAAGCTCAAGGAGGCATGTGCTCAGCCACAACCCGTCGCACGTGGCGGCGAGGCAACTTTTCAGTGAATTTCTCGATAAGCAAGTATAATCGGAACAGTGTATGTGGTCGGACTGTCCTTCAGCTTCCAAAGATGGGCTGCCCTGAATAAAGCTACACCTACACGGAAGAATACTTGACAAATGTCCACCACATGAGAGGGACAGGAGCTGTGCGTAGGGGCCGCTCACAACGTCTAGCAGCAATGCAACACTAGAAAACAGAAGGGGTCCAGCTTCATTTGCTCGATTTATATGATGCACACAGCCGTCGCTGTTATCCTCCCGACCATGCAGAATGCGTTGCAGTGCTTTTAATGGCCCATCCGCCAGGAAGTTGGCAACAAGTTGGGTGTGCTCGAGGATACGTTGTACGCGGCAGTGATGTTGGAACGATTCTGTGGGCCAGCACATAGTTGAAACAGCGCTCTGAATCGACCTATAAGGATTCTTGTATATAGTGGTTTGTAAATTTATAAAATGGCTTGAACATTGTCTTGGAGGAAACAACACAGCGCCACACCTATCGTGCGCCATCGATTCAAGTTGTGTAGATTTATGAAAGGGCGTAGCTTTGCCTTCACTAGCAGCCGCACCACCCGTGGTACCGTTAGGGTGAGACTTGCTTTGGCATACCACCAATTCCATGCCCGCGTGAACGGACAAGGTTTTGTTCAGCGACTTTTGAACAACAGCACAGCTATAATTGCTGACAAAGTGGTGTATTTGAGTGAGGCAAGAATCCGCACTAAATAAGGCACGATGCCACGCGACGGCAATAAAATCGTTAGGATGAGGTCCCAACGCTGATACGTCATGTTGCTGTTGCGCACCAGAGTCGTCACTTGGCCTTTTATCATCTGCTGGCGCACAACACGACAGTCCTGCTACAAGAGCATACAAGAAGAATGGTTTCTCTGGGAGATGTATCGAGCATCGGAGTAGCACGTCAATAATTTCCAAAAAGTAGTGTATGCACAGCTTAATCCAGTGGAAGTTCCCGCTTCGAAGGTTGTCTAGGCTCCTTGCGATGCGTTGAGGTTCAGAAATGTAGATAAAACTTTGAGAAGAGTACATTTCATCATTATCACTGTCTCCCACGCTCTCAGCACCACCATTCAAGTCGTTTAGCCTCTCCTCCGCCCACATTATTTCCCATGAAATATTACACGTAAATAAGCTAGCCAATGTTCCCATAAATTTCACAATGGAGTTGAGAAATTCAACTGGGAGAATCACTTCCCCAAGCAGTGCTCCCTGCGTGAGATGCGGCGGAATTAAAGGTAACGAAGTGAAGGTGTTATCATGAACTATGCTCGTAGATCCATTCAGGAGTCCCCAGGTTCGCTGCTCTACCTGAACCAGGTAATCTGCCAGACCAGCCAAGTACCAAACAATAGTCTCAAACGGACTCAGAGAACTGCAACCGCACTTTAGTAAGTTCTGTGCGGTCTCAGAGGCGCCCTGGAAACCGGCAAGCCACACACGAAGAAATGCAGCACGCGGCTGCGCATCTGCTCTCACAGAGCTCTGTGGTTGCAGATCGCCAGAGTTGTTACCGCCCCCGTCCTCGTCATCGCCTTCGTGAGGTGCAGGCCCCTCGTCGCGGATTCTCAGAGAGGGAATACGGGCAACAGTAAAACGCTGTACCTCAAGTAGGGAGAGGGTATCAATAAGCTCCTGTAGTATAGCATGGTGGTGATCGGTTAGTGACTGGGCAGCTGCGCGGGCACATGTATCGGTTAAGGATTTCACCATACCCGCCCACGTCGGATCCAAAAAGCAAAAAGGGCAGGGCGAGAGGTCACTTGTAGATCGTTGTGGCGGTTGTGACGGTTCTATATACAGGGATAACGCTAGATGGTGTGAAAAATGATGCGTGAAAATATAATTGAGCAACTTCAGCGATATGCGCATGGACATTTCAAATGAAGCCTTTACATCCAATGCAAGCATCGAAGCCGGGCGCAGAGTGGAGCAGAGGGCGCACATAAACTCATCCAGGTGCCCGAGCTGCCCATCACAAAGGATTTGATAGGTCTTTTGCGGCTGAAAAACGCCTGTTGGCAATGGTAGCTCCGGATCTTTGTCTTCACATTGTTTATTGTCATGAAGAGGGCTGCCAAACGATGACGCTGGTGGGGTAGAACTAATCGCGGGAAAATGTATGTCCCTAGCAAGGTAGGGTAAGTTCTTGAAGGGTGGGTGGGACGGCAGCGTATTACTCTGTATTTGAGTATCGCATGCGGCGACCTGTTGCTTCGTTTGCTTAGGAACACCAGTATCAGGTAATAACGTTAGAAGTGCATCCATATCCTGAGCGGTGTACAGAGCCCCTAGCTTCGAGGCAAGGTTCAGTGCTATATTAGCAGAGCTCACAGCGCCCTCTGCTACTAATGAATTAAAAAGACAGAGTGAGTCCCCTTCACAATCACCCTCCCGAACATCTTCAAAGTTAGCCTTGTCAAATAAAGAGCTTGACTCAGACAAGGATTTTTGTTGCAAAGAGAGGTGCTGATCACAAATGGGATCTCTATTCCAGGAGCTGTTTCCAGTAGCAATATTATGGGGACCATGTGTATGGTAGAAAGGACAATAAGTCGCATCTGATGTAGCGAGGGTATCAGCAGCCCTATGTTCGCCTATTCTTCCTTTGGCCAAAACTTTCGTTTGGCTTGAAGATGCGTCTGTGGTGTCTTCAAAAGTTAAATGGGTCGAACGCATACAGCTCACAGTTGCCCCTTGTGTGCAAATAGAACCGCTTGAATCATTAACTAAAGAGGAACATTTCGGCGCCCCCAGCAAAACACTTTCTCCCTGGCTCCTAGAGTTGTTGGGCAGAAAAAGTTTACAATCGGGTTTCTCACTATCAGAGCCATTTCCCTTAATTGCTGATGCGTATCCAAAAGAAGCTTGAATGACGACAGGGTTGCGCTTGCGTTTCACCTCTGCCCCAGCGCTGATGTCTGTTTGTATGGCAGAATCTCCGATAGCCACGACGTCATAAGCTGAATCAGGAAGATTTGACTGCGCCACTTCATTGGGTGGTAGCGGGGATAAGGAACCGCCAGGTCTAATTTCGTGGTGCGAATTAGCATCCAAAAAGAGTGAAAGGCTTTGCTCACTGAAGGCAACTTCCGTGTGAAACTGCGCACGAATGGTTTGTCGCCCGAGGTAATCGGTACATTTTATTAGAAACGCGAGAGGTTCAAAAGATGTTTCCGACAAGCACCTCCCCTCACATGCAGCGCCTTTATCAGACAAGTCCATCTCATGTAAGCCCATAGCCGCAAACGACCACAACCACCATGGCAACATGGCACGGCACATCGCGGCCTCATCCAATTCTGTAGAGGATACTGACGGTAAGGACGCCTGCATCCCAGCCAGGATGCGCTCCTTCACGTGAGCGTACACCGTATAACGCAGCTCGACAAGCGCTGACAATAGTGCGGCCACATCACTACTATTTTCGGCACTCTTTGGACAAGACGATAATGAGTTGTTCTCTGGTGTATCATTAGGAGCCCCACCGCGATCCAAACACACCGAGGGGGTTAAAAGCGATAGAGCAGCGTCACTGAACAAGACATAGCGAACAAAATCACAAAGAAGTCGCCCCGTCTTAAGAACGCCCTCCCAGCTTATGTAAAGTGATGCGGAGGAACTCATCCGTCGCTCCGTGAGGAGATGACGTCCTGGCGACGAGAGACCGCGAGCCTCCCCACAGGCTCTCGTACTCTCTTGATTCTGTTTCGCACTACTATGCTCGCATACAGAAGCCCGCATGCGATCGTGGAACCAGACCGCCGGAGCCTCGAGTGTTTCATGAGAGGAACTACAGAAAATGCTAGATACAGAACCGTTCAAACCAAAATTAGGAGTGCCAGCAGATTGCACGCCTCCAGGATCCATCTCCTCTATCCCATCATTGAAAATAAAGCCCGTTAAGGGGTTCCTATCCCTAGATAGAGAAACGATTACATCTCTCAAGAAGGAATCAAATCCCCTCATTATGTCCAGCAAGGACCCCCTAACATCCTTGGGCATCCCTCCTGACAAAGAAGTCGAGTGGTGATATACCTCTCTGGAGGTCAACAACGGGACATCGGGATGTCTAAGCGCGCCTCGACACGAATAACCAAGACGTTCTACGTCGATACTCTGCGGCAGAATGGCGCAAAAAGAAAAGGACTGATGTCCAGCAACATCCCCTTTCCCCTCCGTGGAAGACGCATTAACAACAGAACCCATACGGGGAATTTCAGGAGGTTCTCTCGACGAAAGCTTATCAGGATCTAGAAGTTCTTTGCGCCAATTCAGTTGCAATGGTTGTGACAATTGTTGTTCAGATACATCAAGATGATCAGCCCGACAGCTATGGGAATACACCTCAGAAAGATAATCGCGGAGAGAGTCTAACGCAAGGGCTTTTTGAGACTCAGAAAGCACCTCCGAAGACACCTCCGTCGCGCATTGACGCAAGGATACACAAACCTCGTCGATACGCGGCGTTAAATGGGTAATGAAACTGGGTAATGGGTAAATATCCATAGACAAATAGCGTAGTTAAGCAACTAAAATTGATAGAAGTTAAAAACAGCAGTACGACACTTCGTATCAGTATAGACCAACAGTAAAAGAAAGGTAATATAGTGAACTTGTGCAGCACGTCTAAAAAAAAATCGTTCCATCCCTAGACCAAATAAAAAAGTGAAAAAAAACTTTATAAATAGTAAAAGTAACAAATTAGACAGTAATGAGAAACAAGC